GGTTGATTCATCAACAGTCTAATTACATCAGTTCCAAGTCATTTGTCGGGGTGATCCAACATCCGAAAAAGGATGCCCTCCCGCACCAAGTCCGGGGCCTTTCTTGCGGCTCGGGCTCCTTTTCTTGTCCTCACAAAGGTTCCCCGCATGCGGACCCGTGCCCTGCTGGTCGACGGCAACAGCTTTGTATTGAGAAATCTAAAAGGAGGAGGGAAATGGAAAAGAACACGCGCAACTGATTTCTGCCCCGCGTGGCATTGCATAATTTGTTCTTGCTCCAAACTTGGCGGAAATGGACCGACGACCGTTGACCCCGACCGACGGCACCGTTCACTTTGAAAGGAGAATTGGGGGACGGGACTCTGACTCTAAAGTCGATACCACATAAACATATGATTCTGTAGTAGAAGAGCCTACAAAGCAAATCCCGAAAACCCGAACAGGAACTTCAGTTGGTGCCGAAGATCGTTGTTTTCGGGACCTTCCAAGGATCATTCGACCCGTTGTTTTGCCACACTTCGCTCAGGATTCGTGAAAAAGTTGGAGTAACTGATGGTACCGAAACCCATTCGGGTGGAACAGAAACCGATTCGGAACTCCGCCGTTCGCATCACGCCACATGGACCAAAGATTGGGAAGAGAGCCTTAGAACAAATGTCATCAATCTCAAGGAATCAAACAAACATCCAGAATCATCCAGACATCTTCAATTCTTGGCCAAAAATGAAGCGCGGCTTCTTTGTTTTTCGCCGTGCTTTGGCACCTTGGGCACCTTGGGCGCATCGCTGTCGGAGGAGCCTCACCAAAGCGGGCTCGTCGAAGTAGGCCATAACTTTGGAAGAGCAACTTCTGTAACAGGCGATGTGGAAAAAAAAGCTGGTGAACAAAACTGGCGATGTGGGTTCTGCCCGACCTCTTGAACATGTTGGCACTGTGTGTAAGTGGTTGGTTTTAATGTTTTAAGGATCCCATGCCCGGGGGTATGCCTTAAAGGCTCCCCAAATGTCTGCCCACTGCATCCTGCTGCCCACCAAGTTGACCGACCCAGCACCAAAACAGGAAACGCGGATCCAGGCGGATCCATCAGTTCCGCACGGGAAACAAGCACGCACGCACGCGCGCGCGCACGTTGTCGGAGCTGGTGGAGAGTGTGGCCACCTCGGTCCGACCTCCAACCTAAAGAAATGTGAGAAATCGTGGGTTGAGATGAGTGGCTCCAGGGGCGAGAGCTGCTTGAGATGTGTGGGTGATTCGTGTTTCTTTCTTCAGCCCTTGATTCCTGTGCCCGTATCTTCATCGACAATGAATAAACGCATTGGCCATGACCCTTCAAACATTCACCTCCTAAGGTTTGGGACTGTAATTGGTTTCGACCCAGACCACAACCCCAGCTCTGTCTTATTGTTTATATGAGAGTCTAATCATTTACATCGGTATTTGCTAGTTCTTTGAGCCTGAAATTAGAGCCTAATCGTTTCACCTTCACCGTAAAGACCCGCCTTTCTTTCTCTTCTTATCCTCGAGCGCCAGTGCTTTTTCTTTCTTTTCTTTCCTTGGGCGCTCATCTAGCTCCCGAGTCTCTCCCCGAGTCTCAGATTCCAAAGCAGCAACAACAAGGGCAAACCTCTTGAGGTTTGGATCCAAAGACTCTCTTTTGCTGCAAAGCACAAGTTCTTTTCTCGTTGCTCCAACTTGAGCACTTGAACATTTAGAAAAGAACCCAAAGGCTGGAGTTTCCTGTCAGAACCCTGTACACACCGTTACACACCCATGTACCTCCAACTGTTCGAAAGCAAGTCTCCAACTGTTCCAATGCGCCCGAGACGATCGTGCAGAGTCGACGTTGTTTGTGTATGTTGACGTGCAGTGGTTCTGGGGTCTCCAGCTTGCACTCGCAATCAAAACTCCTGTCCAGTTTGGTTCCTATGTGTTTTCATGCCAGGTGGTGCTCTGTTTGACCAAACGGCCCATCTCCACCCACCGAGAATCTTCTCCTTCTTCTTTGCTTTGGCCTTCTTTTCGCCTTACCAGTTCCAAAACATGCCCAGCAGATAGACGAGGAGGTCAAGAAGTTTACAGGCAGACAAGACTCCGGAGTGGAGTTGGAGTGGAGACTTCTCTCCATGTTGTAGAAGTTTCTGCCAAAGATCACAGCCAGAAGCTTGATAGGATGATAAGGGGAATCCGTCAAAACGTCCTGTTCACCAGTTGAGTCCTGATTCAAACATTGAACTCTCTGTGAGTCTCCTGGGTTTCGGCCGCCTGGCTGGTGATTCTCAATGGACTCCGCTGTCCACACCTGGCACGGCCGATGGCCGTCTGTGCGTTCCGGCGCCCCAAGGGCTGAGAAAGTCTTCCACTCATGCAGGGTACAAGAAGGATCTTCCACTCATGCCAGGTTAATACTCTAGCGATGGCCTCCAAACTACTAGCAATGATAAGATATGAAAAGATCTTATTTCTCAAATTCGATCCTGATTCGGGAGAGTACCACAGTGACTGTAGCCTCTCTGAACTGGTAAGCCATGCAGTGGACTGTGGGACTTGATTGGAAGCTGGAGGAATCTGCTTCAAGCCGCATCAGCATCTCCTTCCACTTCAGGTATATACAGTAAATGCAGAAATGATAAAGCTGAAACCCCGAAGATCTTCCAAACATGCAAACAGAGTCATTTCATGTCATTTCTAATCTATGTGCGGGACCTGGACCTAGCCTTTCCAACATGCTCGACATCATCTAATTATCCGATTCGAATCGATTGACAGAGGTAGAGTCTCGCTTGTACCTGCTTTTGTGAGTGTCACGTGCAGAGAGCCCCTGAATGGCTTCAGGCAATTGTTCTCCTTCTGATCAAGTTGAAACTAACCTTCTGGCTTCTGGGCCATGGGCTCCAAAACCCTCCAAAATTCGGTCACCGCCGCTTCGGTCGCTGTTGGCCTCTGACCCAAGGTCACCAGCCTACTTTGCGCTTGGTCAGACCTCCGCTCTTCGTGGTGCTCGTTCGACGCTTTTCGCGGCCATCGCTCGGGTCTCTCTTCGTGAGCCAGCCGCTCCTTCACCCCCACGCTCACGTCGTACCTCAGACAGCAAGGTCAAGCGCTGCGAAGTCACGGCTTCGATGGGGAGACGATCCAGCATCTCCAGCGAGGGATTCTGAGCGTTTCAAGTGAAAGCCAAGACAAATGGTGGCACATGGTCACAAATAGATGGTGAACGGAAAAACAAAGGAAGAGTGGGATGTTCTGTCCTTGAAATGGACTCTTCCACCAGCCTGCCAGATCTGCGTCCCAAATTCCCTCAGTGGTTGAGAAATCTTAGTCCCCTCCTAACTTTGAGGGACCAAAACAGGGCTGATTCCCAACACCCATGTCCACGAATGACAGGTCCCTGGCTCCAAAAAGCGCTTGGTGAGAATGTTAATCCTTCAAATTCATGATCTGGACTGTCTGGACCTAAAGAAACAATATGCCGCATGCCCTTTGGGATTCACCCACCAGCCGAACCGCGCATCCGGCCGGAGGCCGGACCCACCGGGGGGTCCGGGTGCCCGCACTGATCCAAGACGGGCCCGGCTTTCACGATGAGGTTGATCCTCCATGGCATCGCGAAGGGGAAGGGATCTGGACGAGTCGTGGCAGAGAAGCTGTCGGAGAAACCCAATGCTGGGAGCTGGAAAGGAGATAGCTCAAAGGTAAAACAAACAGGCTTCCTAGCCCAGGCTTGCTTAAAGTGCCGGTTTTAGGGAGTTTGTGTGAAAGTCAGGGAAAGGCTTCCCAAACCAATGGATTCATCTGTATACCTTTTATGAACGAATGATGTAGCTAGCTTGCTTGCTTGCCTGCTTGCTTGCTTGCTGGCTGGCTTGCTTGCTTGTTTTACCCCTGGTCAGATCAGACAAGTAGTTCATCCTACCTTCCCACCAACCAACCAGGTAAACATAGGGGCACGGGCGGCAAAGCCACCGAAGTAATGCTTGAGGCCGAACTACAAATGTTCTAATCCAGCGACATGGTAAGTTGGGAATCTGTGGCACATCGGGACATTCACCATGGAACTCTGTGTATGTATGAATGTGTATATATATATATATAGAGAGAGAGAGAGAGACCAACTAGTTTGGTTCCGTGGAATTGGCACATCTGGCGATGCTTAAAACCGGCTCTTGCTCGTAGCAATGCTGTCTTTGGTGGGCGCAGAAAAGTTTCGCATCATCGGAAGCTGTTCAATCGCTCCCTCCTAGATCTGGTTTTATTCCAAATGCAAACTTGGAGAAGGTTGCGCGAAGTCATCAAAAAACACCGCCAGCACCGTAGAACCTCATAAAGAAACTGAGGCTGGGCACCGTAGACCTTCAGTCACACACCCAGTTGGTCTCCATCGACCTTGGTCTCTCCGAGAAACCCGGCAAGTCGATCTTCTCCACTGCGGTGGAAATCCTGAGCTGCACGGGCGCCTTTTGACTGAGGATGTCATACACAACACCAGCACCCAGGGAGACAAGACACAACTACCTCATATAGTTGGAGCCGGACCAACGAAGACCAAGCAACTGCTCGACTTGCTGCAAAAACCAAGCTCCAAAATTAGAACAAAAAAGCTAGCAAAACGGGTACTTGCCTTGGTGCGTTCTGTACTGCCAGGTCGACACCAATTGCGCACGGGGACGTGCCGACCGAATGGTGCTTGGCACGGCTGGTGCGAGATCTTCGTATGAATCAAACATCTGATTGAAACCACACTAACTCGCTGCACAGCCTCGCCGTCATTCTGATTGACTACTGGAAATTTTCTGAAGATCAGCTCCCAGCCATATGTCTCTGCGAAAAGACCTTTCGAATCATCTTCTCCACCACAAACTTGACCATCTTCACCCATCGTGGCATCAAGCGGTATTGACACAATCACGTATGTTCAGACCCTCCAGGTTTCGTTGATGTCTGTCCTACTAGTAACAAGTGCCTCGCTAGTAGTAACAGGTGCCTTACTAGTAGTAACAAGTGCCTTACTAGTAGTAAACAAGAAGCTACTAGTAACAAGTGCCTTACTAGTGAATCCTTTTTGCCACCAAAGGTCCATCCCAGATGCAAACAGCCCAGACGGTCCCCCAACACTTAGGGATTGATTCGAATTCGCCCATCGAATTCGCTTCGCAGAGGATTCAGGTCGGTCACATCAAACGCCGATTTCTGCCGCACCCGACCACCCACCGAGAGTCTGTGTGAGGGGCACACACTTCCTGGCCGCCAGGATCCGAAGCTCCTTGGCCTTGGGTTTCCGCCCACCCGGCGATGCCGAGCTGGTTCCGTCCCAGAATTGCACCGCGATCACATCGGATCTGCATCGTCTCCCGGTCCATCGGGTCTGGTCCAAAGGTCGAACCAGGGCAGTCGAACGGCTAGCGGTTGAAAAATGGGATGTGCTTCTGCTAGTTTGGGTTGGTCCACATTCCCCAATCCCCAGACATCCTTGTGTCGGTCTTGCAGGTGGTTGACACGGAGATCCTCGCTTTTACAAAAAAGGAGGGAACCTTCTTGATCCACAGATCCTCGGATCACCATCCCAGTTGATCCTCGGCGGATCCCGGCCGAGAGCCGATTGAGGAGCTCCCATTCATCCTGACATCAGTGATTGGAGGCCGTTCCGTCAGCTGGAGGACCAAGTTTTCCATGGAAAACCTATCACAGGGCATTCTATGTGTGTAACAATATGAGCACCCATATAGGGCGGGTGCTGATTAGGGGGCCCCCCTGGTGGGGGAGTGTTCCAAGACCTATTGAACTTAAAGTTGCTAGTGCTAATGTCAGCGCCCCCCATATACATACATATATATATATATGTATATATATATATATGTATACATGTATATGCAAGTGTAATGACTCGGGAAGAAGTTAAAGAAGGAAGTGAGGGAAACCATACTTGCCATTCATCAATTGAAATTGAACAGGAAGCATGTTACGGTATCTTATTGATTTTAAGCATAAAGTAAGCACAATTACAAAATGGATACAGGTATATCAAAGAACTTCTTCGACAACACCATGTTTTCAATGTATAAGCCTACTTTAAAGGTCTTGGTTTTCTGGCTTTAGGATTGAGCGAGCATAGTTTCCAAATCATTGTTTTTTGTCTCTGAGGTTATCTGGCTTTAGGATTGAGCATAGTTTCCAAATCATTGTTTTGTTGTTTCTTTTGAGGTTTTCTGGCTTTAGTTTCCAAATCATTGTTTTTTTGTTGTGCTTTTTCTGGGTTTAGGATTGAGCATTGTTTCCAGATCGTTGTTTTTTCGTGTTCATGGTATCCCCAGGCCCTCAATCAGCTAGCACTAATATGAACAAGATTGAAAAATCGAGTGAGTAAGTGTGTGTGTGTGTATATATATATATGTTGTGAATTTCAAACCTTTCGGTCCAAGTCTGAGATCAGTAGAGTCTGAGATCAGCATGTAGAGCTTCTTTCTCTCACTGAGGAACCAGCCTTGACCCACTCAGGTGTGTTCATGTCCGAAGCCACGAGTGTGCGAGGCCGCAAGGGTGGTGTAGGGCGGGTCACCCGTGACCTGAGCCATAGAAGCAGTGAGGACACTGCAGGGCGAGGCGCCCGACCGTTCGTACCAACCTTCAGGTGAGCTGTGAGTGGAAAACGCACGCGGCTGTGCGAGGGGAGGAGGATCTTTTGTTGCTACCGTTGTGTCAATCACATTGGTAGCGGAGCTACCGCTAAAGCTCCAGACAACACCTGACCCGTGTGCTTGGTTGTTGTTGACTGCGTGGTTGAGTCGGTGAATACGTTGTTTGGCCGCAAGGCAGTCGACGGGTTGCACAGTGTCTTGGTGGTGTTGTCACAGAGTTGTTGAGCTGCGGTTTCCAGGGAGGAAACAGCCCAATGCCACCGGAAGGTGATTCAGCTGGCTTTAGTTTTTGCACAGGAGGTTTGAGCAATCTCCCATGGAGCCAGGTTCCATCTTTCAAGCCTGGTGAGACGGACCTCACTGAATGGTCACGGAAAGTAGAGTTCCTGGCATCACTACGGCCTCCAGAACAACTACACCTGCTTGCCCCACGAGTTGCATTGCAATGTGAGGGATCAGCCTTTCAGAGAGTTGCAAGACTGGACCCAAAGAAGCTGCGTGTTGGAAGTTTGGAGGGAGTGAAGGCCATTGTGGAGGCCCTTGGAGGGATATGGGGAAAATCCCGATTGGAGGACAAGTTCGAAAGATTTGAGCGTGCAATATACAGCACGGTTCAAAGAGCCGACGAGACCCACTCAGAAGACAAGAAGAGACTGATTGTTGAATCGCAGGGTTCACTGGAGTACAGAGAGGTGGTATCCAATCTGAAGCTCCTGGGGAGTCGATTCTTCCATGAGGTCCACTCCAGCGGAAAGCTGAACAATCCAATGACCGAAACCTATGAGGCCAATGCATTCATTGCTCAAAAAGCTGAGGGTCATGACCAAGCACCCGCCGAGTCCACCTACAATTTTGATGATTGGACCGAGGAAGAATGGATTGAGAGTCTTGCCAATGACGGTGACGAGGACGCCGCCCTGATCATGGATTTGCCAGAGCTGACCGAAGAGACGCTCAACGCCACTCAAGAGAAATCGAAGCAAGTTTTGTGTGGTTGTGAATCAAGGGACACCGGTGTTTTGAGGGTTTTGTGGGAGACCAATGAAGGGGAAATCATTGTTTTAGCCCACAAAGGGGAAATGGTCACCGAGTGCGAGAATTGTGATGTCCGGACTAGCTTGCCAGAAAGTGCGTTTGCTAGCGCCGCCCAATCACCTGAAGCCAAGTCAATGCATGACGCCGAAGCCAGTGCATTCTGAAGCTTTTCAAATCGTGATGCCCTGGGAATCGTAGATACAGGTGCTACTAAGACCGCCATAGGAAGCGGTTTCGTAGCCAATCTCCTAGCCGCACTAAAGCCAGAGGTTCGGAAGCAGGTCCAAAGGTGTCGATGTTCAGTGGTTTTTCGGTTTGGTAATCAAGGGACACTTGAAAGCCAGCATGCACTCGTTGTCCCAATCGGACCGCTGAAGCTCAAGATTGCCATAGTGCCAGGCCGGACACCATTCCTGCTGTCGAAAACCCTGCTCCGAGCCATCGGAGCCACCGTAGATATATCTGGTGAAGTGATCAAAAGCACTCTCTTGAAGCGCAACATTCCAATTCAGCTAAATGCCAAGGGTTTGTTTTTAGTAGATCTGAATGATCTGATCACACCCGCCAGTCAAGATGCCGAAGCTGAACCTGCCGAGACCTTCGCCAGGGACAGCAGTTTGAGGCTTTGTTGTCCCAACTGTTATGCTCACCCTGCGAGCCGGCTCGCCAGGTACGATGCTCATTCGGCCGATGTTTGGCCACTCCTCGCCTTTTTGGGTTTGGGGCCGTATCAGCCCAAGATTTACACTGTTCTGCGCTAAGAGCTGATACCTGACGAGTTACATTTTTTCTGAAGGTCGCAAATGTGTTGTGACCGCGCAGCAGTGATAGTCTTGACGAAACCCCATCAATGCTGTAACTTTGGGACCCAGATAGCTAGGCAGAATCCCACGACCTGTTGACATGCGACTGGCTGGAACAAGAATGTACGCAGCCTGCGCAGCCAGAATATGGCACCTCCACAGCGCGCACAATCAGCTGACACCAGCACCAGCACCAGCACCGACACCTTTTCGAAAGCGCGCGCAGCCAGCTCATTCTTATTTGCAGCAAGAGCCCCATAGCTAGCCCTAATTGAGGAATAACAACGTATGACCTTGCGCGTATAAGGTTATGCGCACAAAAGTATGCGCGCAAACAGCAAAGCCCGTAAGTGTTATTTGCCCAAGGCCAAACAGTATCCAGCGCCACTATGTAGCATGCTTGAAGCAACGATCTGCAGAACGATGAGGCCGTGTGATCTTGCGCGTATAAGTTTATGCGCACAAAAGTACGCGCGCAAACGGCAAAGCCCGTAGGCTTCACTCGCCCAAGGCCAAGCAGTATCAGCTATCTTGGATGAGACTCTATTGGGCATGGATCCAAAATCCCCAAGTCAATTGGAAACGACCACATGAGGTTTTCAAAGGTGAACCCAAACCAATCCTATCAACGACAGCGTTGGCCCAGTGTTTGCCACGATCCGTAGCTGTCACAGGTTGCAAATCTTTGTATGATTTGGTTACTCGAACTGCTCAACCAAATTGCCAGGAATTCCGTACACAACTTCAAGCAAAGGCAATAAAAGATTTGCTATCAGAAGGCATTCAGTTAAGATGGGTTCATACAGGAGCTCAGCTCGCGGATGCACTAACTAGGGTGATGCAAGGAACTTTCCTCCGATACACTTTGCAACGAGGCATGTATCAATTAAACGACGAACTGCAAGTGCTGAAAGAGCGAGCTGACAGCAGAACACGCCTCAAGTGGCTTGAGTCTGGGATCCCTCTGATGGAGGATCAGCAGCAAGAAGGATGATCGACACACAACCAAAGAAAAAGATAGAAATTTTGATGAGTGTGAATTTCAAACCTTTCGGTCCAAGTCTGAGATCAGCAGAGTCTGGGATCAGCATGTAGAGCTTCTTTCTCTCACTGAGGAACCAGCCTTGACCCACTCAGGTGTGTTCATGTCCGAAGCCACGAGTGTGCGAGGCCGCAAGGGTGGTGTAGGGTGGGTCACCCGTGACCTGAGCCATAGAAGCAGTGAGGACACTGCAGGGCGAGGCGCCCGACCGTTCGTACCAACCTTCAGGTGAGCTGTGAGTGGAAAACGCACGCGGCTGTGCGAGGGGAGGAGGATCTTTTGTTGCTACCTTTGTGTCAATCACAATATGTATCTATATATATATATATATGAGATGCGGTTCCCATCTTCCATCTGTGAGGATTTCACCCTCCCCCATCTTTCGATGGGGAATGTCTACAATGAGGGCTGTTGTGGGATTCCCTCCTGCAAGCTGCACGAGGGTGACGTTGAGTGTCATGGCTTCGGTCCAGCTTCCAGCCTTTTCAAACCCCAGAAAACGGAGCTCTGCTCGAAGCCCTTCTACCACTGGACCTCCTCACCTCCCGTTCTTTTGTTTTGGATCCAACGGCCCATCCCTGCGACCAACAACTGCAGATGGGATCGGCCTGTTTCTCCTTGGTGTCCTTGCTGTCCTTCCCCATCAACCCATGAATGCTCAAGCGGAACAAAGGCAAGGTCTTGGAAGAAGTCTGGTTGTTTTGAAAGACTTGGCGTTTTGGGAAACAAACTCTGATTGGCATCCAACAAAATGGCCGAGGCCATCGAGACTGCAATTGTTGGACGGTTCTGTTGAAGAACATCTGTGGTGAGATTACAGGTTCACGCGCATGCGAGGAGGAGTCTACTGAATATCGTGCTTCTGGTTGAATGAGGTGCCCTCAAAGAAGGACCTTAAATTAAACCCCTTGATTGAGTCAACCAAGGCTGAAGGTCACCTGAAATTGAAAGAACACACCACTTCGAGAGATGGGAGGTCACATGGGATTTACCGTCGCATAGGTCACCGGGTGGCGCTTGACCTGTTCGACGAGGCTCTGTGGGACCAATCGGAATTCTCCAAGTATTGAGGAATACTCTCAGCCAAAAGTTCCCACGCACCAGCTAGGGCGGATAACCTTCAGACTGAACCGATCACCTTCAGGATCCGACCTGTGCCGTCCCAAAAACGGATCGAAATGGGGAAGGTCACTACTACACTGTTAAACCGCTTTTCCTCCGTGCAGAAGTTACTTCTGTAGAAAACGCCCCCAAGTGCCATGGACAGCTGCGGAAAGCTGCGGGAGGGATTGTCCGCCCCGTGGAATTGGTCGGCTTGACAGTCAGAGCGGAGTGTAGGGTTGAAGCAGAGCTGGCACGGTGGACTTGGACTTGATGATTTGACAGTGGCACGGTGGTGGGATTGGTCCAAAGCTCGCGAGAAGCTCGTCACCCAGAGAAGTCTGGACTCCCAGTATCCTCACACCTCTGGACTTGACCCTCCCCAAGAAGGTAACCCAATGACCCAACCAGAACGGCATTCGGAGAGAAAGAAAGGAATCCCAAAGATTATTTCATGAAAACCAGTGGTTGAGAGTTTGGCGGCTTGAATGGATGACACCCCTAAAATCATGAGCAGACCGTCGAGGCAAAATGCGTCTGGAAGACTGACTGGAACCCGTCTCAGGTGGCCTTTACGGAGCTCCTCCTTTAGTGGCGCTACAGTTGATATGCCACTCGAGTCAGACTGCACAATAGCGGACGGAATGATCCGAAAGAAAGTCAATTCACCTGGGCCTGGGGCCTGGGGTAGAAGAAGTGAACCCACAAAACATCCCACAAAACATCCCGCAGCCCTCTCAAAACTCTACCAGTCTAACAACCACGTTGGAAAGAAACACGCCCCTTTATAAGGGACCCTGTCATGAAAACACGCAGCTCACTGGGCAGAAATGACTCTTTCTCACATCTGCTTGCGGTGTCAGTACCCAAAAGAGAAACCTCTTTAAGAGGTTCCTCACACACGAAACGAGACGAAGGATCACCCGTTTCTGTGAAGAGCACCGACCTGCATGGACGTCAAAATCCACCGAACCTGCCTAGACCATTTACCCTTCACTGTTGACCGAACTACGAGGCTTTGACCGTTACAATCTTTTGGGTTTTCTCGCTACACCAGTGCTTTTGTACAGTCAACCGACCAGGGAATATAGTTGTGCTTCACCTTTGGACTGCAGATTCTTTGATGCTATAGTATCCAAATACTTAACGCATGAAAAATAGATTAAATATATAGATGAAAGAAAACATCCATATTTACTTTGTTGGCATCCAAGATCCAAACACAAAGATACAAATGGATACGGGGTATCTTGTTTGTTTGAAACACCCTTTGTCGACCCAAACCTGTGCGTCATCCAAACCTGCCAAAAACAGTCGTTGCTTTTCTCTCCCCACAAAGGAATACCAAGTCTTAGCGCAGATCCAACAATTTCAGCAACTGGTGGCTCCATGTGAAAGACACTGTCGAATGAGGAGTTTTAATCCTTCAACACTAGGAATCCGAAGGAAAACAAGAGGCAGAACCTTTTGTACTTGCAAATCTGCTGCCATTCCATAAGCACTCCAAAATCTTCATTCCCCATCCTCGTACAGCTTTGAGTGCTATCACAACACTTCACCACTCAAACTCACTGAGACGGCCGTGACAGTTGGGGTGATCCTTCAGCAGAAAGCTTCAGAAGCCACTCATGAGACGAAAGGCTGGGGCTGGCGGAGCAGGGCGGCGGGCACCTCTCCCCGTGCGTGTTCGTCGAAGTTCGCCCCAAAAGATGAAGGTCCGGTCGAAAACAGCAGGAAAGTCGTTTTAAGAACTGACCGTCCATATACGAGTGTCAAGGATGAGAAGATACAGAGACAGAGTTTTGATGATGTTCAATTCATTGGTTGGGTAGATGAATCTGATGCTTGGGACCAAGACAGTCTATATATAAATGTCATCGATTCAATATCGAGGTTGACTCTTCTGCCTTCTATATACATAGCAAAGTGTGCAGATTCACCGTCAACCGCCGTCAACCATGTGAAGATTCCAGGATACAATCGTGATGAACCTCCAATGGAGCACCAAGCCTACCACCGGCCTGTAGAAGGGGCCAAGACCTAAGGACCTAAGGAATGGGCAAAGTTAATTTGCTGTTCACCACGATCGGCCAAATGGTTGTGCTTTATAATTCTCATTCACCAAACATTTGCCACAGGTCGCACGAAAGTCGCATGGTGCGATTTCAGCCACCCCAGGTGACCGATGCGGGGCCTTTTGTTCGCTGGATTTGCTCGCCTGGAACATGGGTCCAAAAAAAGGCAGTGAAACGTGAAGAGTCAAATGCGATCCTCAGAGGGAAAGAGTCAGATGGATCGAATCATGGGTGGAAGACTCCTCTCAGACCGGGGTCAATTTTGACCATGGAGTCCTCACACCCGCGATGCGCTCATCCGAAGCCGAAGCACTCAGCCAAAAAATTATAGTCATCTCCCTCTCCGGCGTGTAAGGCCCTCCTGCAGGCCATCACCAGGACTTCGCTCAGATCTCTTCAGCAGCTTCTGCGGGTGAAGCCCTGTGAGGTGCAGCCAGACCAAGCCAGCCTGCTGGCAGCGCTTCAAGGAAGCCTCTTCGGCAGTGACACGACGACAGCCCGGGAGCTGCAGGGTCAGCTGCTTCATCACCTCGGAACCAGAACCGGTTCCAAACCCCAAGAAGCTCTCCAACTGAGCGGTCCAATTCATCATGGAAAACGATCTGCCACAGGATTTTCGGGGGGTGAAGGGCACTGGAATCCTAGGAATGCTGGAATGCCTGGTCCCTTTTCCTGATCTGGGAATCTGGCGGCCGACTTTCTCCGCAATGTTTTTCCTCTCCGAGTGACTCGCGGTTGAAGTTCGGGATCCAGCATGGCATGCTGGGCAAACTTCACGGTGCTGACCCGCACCTTCTCCCACTCGGTAATCTTCACCAACTTTCGCAAGCTGGGCATACCAGATTGGAGCGCCGAAGCAACATCACCTCACACAGGGGGCGGTTGGTTGGGATCTTGCTGTCTGATCAAAGCCATACAGCCACACAAAGAAACCCTAACGGGGCCCACAATCTGTGGGGATCTGGGAGTCTTCGATCTTGACCCATCCCGTGGACCACATCCTATAATGATAAGCACCCAATCCACCAAAAGCCCTGGTTAGTTTTGAGGAAGGTGGTCAGAGTCCAAAGCCACTGAAGACCTTCTGACTGGGGGCAGAGACAAGATTTCAAAAAAAAAGACGCACGAAGAAACCCACGTCGACTTGGCTAGCGGGCCCACATTTGGCACCTGGCTGAAAGGCGTCGCGTTCAAACCTCAAATGTGCTTCCTTCACATCTTGGAGTTCGCTTTGCGTGTCCACCAACAGCGTCATCTCTCGCAGCTCAGAACAAATCCTCCGACCTGCGGGGTCTCAGGACAGATCGGGGGAGGAGGAAGATCGATGGGTGGAGCTCCTCAAGGTCAAGGGGGATGGTTTTGTCTGGATCACCCAGACAACACGAAGCCACTAGGAACAAGGGCATCACTAGTAACAAGGGCATTGCTACTAGTAGCTATTTACACCCACCTTCGCCACTTTCGCTTCTTCCAGTACTTTCAGAGCCCAACGAAGCCACATCTCCCGTCTTAGGCCAGGTGTTGACCAACTCCATCGGCAGGGAATCCTCGTCTGCATCCGGTTGTGGCCGGGATTCAGGATCCTCAGGGCCGATCAAGACCTCCATCGCCCCAAAGAGCTCCATTTACAAAAACAAAAGTAAAAACAAACGGAAAACGAAGTTGTAAGTTTGCCAAAGCTAACTGGTGATATCTGTAGATACCCCACAATTTTTTCCCCACGGGCAACTTCATCCACGGCACCTCCTTGAAAGCAATCAAGTGGTATGGCTCCTGCGCCCCGAAGAGCCCTGGAACCGGCACATGGTAAATATCTGCCGCAACGCCTGCCACTCCGCCTGACGCCGTCGCCGATGCCCCAGAGCCGAAGGACATGCGCAGGCAGCAGGGCGGCGTGGGTTCGCCCTCCGGCATCCTGAAGGCACGGGTGGACGACGCGATGAAGTCGGCGAAGCGAGGCCTCTCGTCCTCCACCAAGAGCTCTTTAAAAGATCGGCCAGCGAGCTTCTCATCGGTCCGAATCAAGTGTTGCAAGCACTCACTCTCTTGCGCCACCTTAAAAGCAAGAAGGGGGAGGGACTTCTTGGTGTCACCGCTTCTTCGCAAGGAAGAAAACGCCTTCTCCAACCCCTTCACCCGGTGGTGTCAACACCGGACTTCCTCGCCTCCATGCGGTTGTCCAAGAGGACTTCACCATCACAAACGCCCCGAAGAACCCTGCGGAAGCCCGAGACCAAGGACTCGGCATCGGAGTTTTCAAGGCTCGCATCGGTGCGACTGCGCAGCGCCAGGTTTATGGAAATCGAGCTGGCAATGATTTCAACCTTCGCCGATGCTTCGATGCTTGTGCGGTCATACACGCACGGTCACCACGGTCCCCACGGTCATAAATAGCATGTCATGTTCTTGTCATATCATAGCTCACACCAGGATTTTCCAAGGGAGTTTTCCCTGTCCCTTTAATTGCGTGGATCATGAGCGCTTCCATCCTCCAATAGGCACCCCTTTGGAACTGCTGGCATCTACTACCACCAAGTTTGAGGCGTTAGGAAGTGACCACCAAGTCCTGAGCCTTCCACGGAGATTTTAGGAACCCGTCTGCAGGACATCGTGTTGCAGGGTGAGTCAGGGCTCTTCCAGTTCTATGTTTCTTGACCGAACTCCAGTGCACTGGGAAGGAAGACTCTTCTGCTCGTGGCAGGAGCCCGGATTCGAGCAGCCTCCCGCAAACCTAACACTTGGAGTCAAGGTGCCAGAATAGATTCCACAACTTGGGTACATTCCAGACATCTCTGAAACCCAACACTGGAGGTGGGCTTGGGGGTCTGAAGAGTTGTTGAGGTCGACCTCAACATATAGCCATCTGAACTCTTCAATCCAAAGGCACCAAAATGAAGACTTGGCTGCAAAAAATGAAGCCCATCCGAGGCATGCTGCTGTTCTCCTGGTCCACCACGAAGAGGTAGATGAACATGTCAGCTACGAAGTAGATGAAATTGAAGGGGATCGATACCCAAGGATCGAAGAAGCACAGCGACACACAGAAGCGCAAGGCCATCTGAAAGCCCTGCATCAAAGAAAACTTCAAGCCATGATCATGATGTCCCGTCCAAGCGGTTGCAATGATAAAAAGCAGCACCAAGATGTGTGCTTTGTAGGCCACGATCCTGAAACCCATGTTTTTAGGAGACTTCGACAGGCGAACAGGCAGCGAGACAGGGTGGAAGGTCTGAGTCTGATGGTTTTGGTGTGGAAGGTCTAGTGATGGCATGTTGGTCCAAGTTCTGGCGTGAAGATGTGCATCCTCTGGATTCAGATCACAAAAAGGGAACTGACGGCGCAAGCGGCTGTGGCTCACATGTAGGTTGCAATTCCAAACCCCCTTGGAAGGGAAAGATCGATTTAAAATGTTAGATCCACGTGCTTCCCAAGGATCTTCATCAGCTGAGGGCTTAAATCGACCATCTCCTTACCCACCATCAAATGCTGCACATAGGCCACCAGGAAAATGCCGGCCCAAGTAATGGTGTCCAACCCGGGCGCAGTACACGCTTCGTAGAAGCTGAAAAGGCCAATCACCAAATCGAGCTGACATAAGCACCGGCTAAACAATTTGTAGTTTCTCTTGCGAACCTTCATCATCCTTGGATGGGGGGATGCTCTGAAAGCAATATTTTTTTTTGCAAAAGGAGTGCTTTCCAAATGTCTTTATACCTGGCCCTAAAGAGCACCTGAGCGAACTTTCTTCTATTTCTCTTTGTCTGGGGGCATAACCAGGCACACGGCTCAAACACAGTACATATTCTTAAGTATTCTTAACAGGCAAAAGTCCACAAATGGCACGTTGCATCCTACCATTGTTCACTCCGTCACTAAAGCCAGGGATGTGTTTCATGGGCAAAAAGGAATCCGTCCAAAGCCGACCCCGACCAACATCGGCTTATGCATGCGTCAGCCATCTTTCCCCCTCTTACAGAGGCTCGTGGAGTCCACCGAGGCAACCGCCACCTTTTCAACCTTGAAGGCTAGCTCATGTAGCTATGTATATATGTTTTGTACTGGGGTTGAGTGTGTATACATATATATCCCTCGCGCTCTTTTCCGCAGTCACAAGAACTCCCACCCCTGAGTTTCAGGGTCAAGGCAAGCGCTGCCATCTCTCGAAGTCGAAGGGCGTACTGCCAGCACTGAACATCGTCTTGAACGAAGAAGTCATCTAAACCAGCAGTATAGCCATTGGGAGGCGGGTCCGGGAAGACTTTGAGCAGTGAAAGCTCACATCACTAAAGGGATAGAAAGCATCCCTCGCGCTCTTTTCCGCAGTCACAAGAACTCCCACCCCTGAGTTTCAGGGTCAAGGCAAGCGCTGCCATCTTTCGAAGTCGAAGGGCGTACTGCCAGCACTGAACATCGTCTTGAACGAAGAAGTCATCTAAACCAGCAGTATAGCCATTCCACCCCTTTCATCCTGCTTCGCAAAACCGTTTGTAATCTTGAGGGAAGAGATCTTCCAACACCAAAGGCAAGCTACCGGGCTCAAGTTGAACAAAAACAGCTGAGCAGCAACTTCCTGAATATAGTGTTCAAGAGTCTTTAATCTATTCCAACGTCCTTTCCATTGAATCTGACTAATGTTGCCGCACTGCAAATATTCATGGGTAGCTCCTGAGCCACGGAGGGTTCCAGGTGTAGCTCCTCCTTCCGCCTGGCGTCGGGGGATCTGCAAGCGATCCATAATACTGTTCCACTGCCGCCTGTACGCAGCGGTTGATGCTGGAAACAATTTTGTGTCCAATGCTTGAAGGCCAAACACGCACCAAGCAAGAAAACTCAAAGAATCATCATCGACTCTAACGTGTTGTTTTCGAGCGAAGCGTGAGGTTTTAGGGTTTTTGACAAAAACGTACAACGAACGTGTCTCCAGCATCGAATCAGAGGGGAAGATCAAGTCCCTCCGTGTCAGTTGAAGAAATTCGTTGGGGTGCAACATTCCACCAAACCCGAGTGCGGTGATCGCAGCAAACGACCACCACCCCCACAGCAGGGACAAACAAAGTACTGCACGCAAAACAGGAGCTGACAGAACGGCCCGGCATTGGCCAGGCTCCTCTAGTTGCCACTTCTTGTCAACAGCTCAATCGCCACTTAGACATGATCTAAACTCTGGACGCAACTGTTGCACTGCTGTAATGGCGTAAACTAGCCAATATCGTGGAGCTCCCTGCTTGAACAATGCAAGCCCATAGCCCTTAAGACCCAAGTTTGCAAGCTCAGCAGTACTTAGAATTTCGTCCAGCGTCACATGGGCTTCAGTAGAACACCAAAGCCCGAAGGCCTCCAAGCATTTCTGCATTCGAACAGAGGTCGCCTGTGCAAACCCGCCCATCATATTCAAATCCCCTTTGGGCTCATAGCTGGAAAACTGTTTAGGCCCAGGATTCTGTTCGATGTCTCCTGCCATCAGTAGGAGGAGGCGATACCACCTCCCAACAGGCCGAATCCATCCTGCTGATGTCAACATGATGTCAAAAGGTGCTGCGTCGCCGTCAAACAATGCTTTCAACCAAACAGGGACAGGTCGACTCGGAGGAGGAACCGGGCCATCCCTTGACGGCCCGTTGGCCCGATTCCATGCAGACCTGCAATGCAATGTGCCCGGATACAAACCGCTCCCAATCAGATAGGGAAGTGTGCTTCTCAAAATCCTGCTCAATGCTTTGCTACTGCTGCGGGCCTTGGCCACTGCTCCCATGGTGACCCTGCTATCTAACAATGCAACAAGACGACTGTTGTAGCAAACTTTTGAAATTGATTTGATCCAACTCTTGTAAGTTCTGCATTCCAAACAATTGATATGACCGGAACGTCGGAATTTGTATCGAAACAACTCCTTGTAAGGAAGACACTCACATAGGTCCTCGACTCACTCCGGGTCGTCATGCCAAGCCCTGTCCCACCGTGTGCCTAAGTCACAAGATTCTGCAGCATCTGCCAAGATTCTTCTGCAGCATCTGCCACATGGTGCTCCAGCTTCCGCTTCGTCGAAGATCGGTGCTCTGCTGAACTCCCAGCTGCCATCACCTGACAAAGTGGGAGGGGGTAACTTGCAGAATACGCACTGACTGCTTCTCCTGGGGTCGGAAGCTTTCCGTACACCGTCTTGCAATTTGGCATGCAGCGAGAAAGGAAAACAGGGATTGATGCTTTAGTGAACGAACCCTCAATGGTGAAGTGCCTCCCCTTATAGTTGCAAGAACATTTACCACTGAGAGGGACATACCAATGCTTGCTGTGCAGCCATTGACTGGCTTTTTGAAAAGCAGACCCAAAAGAACAGAAGCAGAACCGAGTAATGGCGCAGCCCAAGCCGAGCAATCTCTGAAAGGCAGCTAACCGGAACATCACTGACGACCCTGGTTGCTCAAGACACGTAGGCTCCTGCTTGAAGAGCCAGTGTCAGCAAAAACGCTGTTCGAACTGCTAACAGAGTTTGCTCCTTAGTCAAGGCATCGTCAAGATCAAACCCAGCTGGCTCAGATTTGGATCTGAGCCTAGGCCTTCTCAATGTGCCAAAGGACCAGCACGGGGGTGCTGCATGCCATTCACCTATTGCTCCATTGTAAGCTAAAGTTGCAAGATCACGAAACGTCTGATTATTGGAAAGATCACCGTAACCTCTACCTTTAGCTGTTCGCTCAATGCCAGGATGCACTCGAAGGCCACATTGTCTGTGACAACTGCTCCAGCCCCCCTGCCCCGAAAACAATTCAATGCAATCGAAAACCTTTGTTCCATCTTTCAGTGTATGATTGACCTTCAACTGTTCGCGAGGCGGACTAGCAACAAGAGGTGCATCATCTGGTTGACCGAATTGTTCCTCATGTGCCAGCGCCTGCTTGATAACCTCCTGCTCTCTCAACTCGGATCCTGAGATCCCCAAATTCCACAACCTCAAAGTGTCACCTTGAGGAAGAGGATCGACCGGAGCGGCAGCGCACCCAGAAATGAGCCAGCTTAGAACTCTTCTCCAAGAAGCCGAGAGCGCAGTCAAAACCACGAGGCCCCCACAGATGCAGCCCAAGCAACAAGCCAGGATGAGGAGTAAGAGCGCCAAGGGAAGGCTGAGGCCAGAGGAGCTGCACTGAACGGGCCACGCCCAGCGGAGCTCTTGAAGGAGATCAAGAGCAAAGGTCAAGCTCATTGACCACCGCTCGAACCAAAAGACTTTGAGCGGTGAAAGCTCACATCACTAAAGGGATAGACAGCATATATATATATATATGAAAAAGCAGTGTCTCGTGTATAGATGTCCAGTTGAGGTTCGCATCCATAGGCAACCTACGGCTCTAGGCAGAGCGTTCAAAAGGGCGCCGGAAGGGTTAGGATAGGATTCCTAGTGTTGGGCACGAGGGTGCCTAGTTTCGACATTGGTAGCGGAGCCACCTGCAAACGGCAGGTGGCATCCGGGGTAGTGTAGATCCTAGGTAGGATTGAGCACTGGAAAAGCAGTGTCTTTTGTAGGTGCCATGGCCTCGTCCTCCGATGGTTTTGGGGGGCAAAGAAGGTTCAGTGGAGACACGCTGGACCCTCAAGAGTACAGGCGATGGCGCTTGTGGGCTTTAGCCAAAATGGCTGCCACCAAGGACATGGCTCCGACACAGAGGGGACCATTCGTGTTTTGTCTGTTGGACGGGCTGGCTCTAGAGACAGTTGAACATCTGACGTTGGACAAGATGCGAGAAGAGAATGGAGACAAACACATTTGGCAATGCCTAGACGAGAGGTTCCCTGACAAACTGGCTCATGATCACATGGCCGAATGTCTCAAAGAGATTTTCGAGCTACATGCTCAGGAGGGTGAAACCACAGTGGCATGGTGCTCACGGGTTCAGGAGGCCTTCGCTAAGTGTCGGAGAAAGGTTCAGGTGGATTTTCCCGCCGAGGCGCGGGGCTGGGTATGCCTCAACGCTTCAGGACTTTCTGCTGATCAACGTGCAATCGTGACTGCAAAGACCCAGGGGGATTTGAAGATGGAGAACATCATGCCCGCGATGAGAAGCTGTTTTCCAGATTTCAAAGCTGGACGACGTGTAGCGAGAGGAAATTCTGCCTATGTGGTACAACATGATGAGACAGAGGATGAACCGGAGACAGGGCTGCCTTTTGAGGCGGAAGGGCCCGACAGTGTTGTATTTGAAGAGGTGGAAGCCTTCTTAGCAGATCACGGGTTTCAGGAAGCTGCTTCCTCTGGGACCTCAACTGAGGTCTACGATGAGTCAGAGATTGCGGAAGTGCTCGCCGCCACGTGGCGAGAGAAGCGCACAGAGATTTCAAAGTTACAGAAAGCAAGAAAGTTCAAGCAAGCATCTACTGTGAAGAAGCAATTTTCCAGAGAGCTGACGGATATCCAGAAGAGATCAAGGTGTCGACGCTGTGGACAGATCGGACACTGGGCCAGAAGTTGTCCTCAGGCCCAGACTTCCGGCTACACAGGTCGTGCAGACAAGGAAAAGGTCAGCGGTGCTGCAATGGTGACAGATGAAGTGCTATTGGTTTCTTCACCTGGCTTCGGCATCATCGACTCAGGATGCAGCAGGACGCTCATAGGCCAGCAGACCTTGGGTGACTTCATGAGGCTGTATC